TGCCCCCCGTATGTGATCAACCTGGACCCCGCCGTGCACGACCTGCCCTTCCCCGCCAACATCGGTGAGTCCCGCCGCCCCAGCTCAGCCCCGCGCCGCGATGGGCGCTGTGGGGGAGGGGGTGGTCCTGCACCAGCGGTGTGGCGTGTTTCGCCAGAATAAAGCAAGTATGTCTCGCCAAAAATAAATAAATCCTTTTCTGGCATAGTGCTTTTCATAAGTGTGGCGGAAAGGGGCCGGGGGAGTATGTGAGGTATTTGGCTAGGATTCCAAGTCCTAATACAAGAAGGACTTTGTTTTTTAACACCTTTGTCCTACCAGTCTTTACATGTCAATTTTTAGGAGCAAAGGCATTTTCCATCGCGTTTGTACATTATTTTTTTTTACATCCTCTAGTGTTACTTGATTATTTTTTTTCTTTTCTTTATCAGCAGTGAACATATTAAAAGATTTGATCTGGTTCCCTGCATCCAGAACAGTGGTAGCCATATGTGCTACTAAATAACCACTTTAAAGCAGTTTAAGACATGAATTTTAGAGAAAATACCTTAACAATAAAACAGACCTTATGTTTAGCAGTTCCAAAGGGCTTGCCAGTTATTCGGTTTGTGAGGGTCCTGTCTGTTAAACTTTCTAAATTTTGTCAACTTCCCTCTCCAGCAGATAAGAAAGGCAGTGTGGATACCAAAGTTGTTTTATTGATGTCAGATGAATAATTAGAATGCCTGTTCCAATGCTGGATCTCTAATAATGCAGTTAGATATGTGTACTTTGTTAACTGATGTTGATCGGCTGAGAACAAAATTCAACTGAAGCGGTTTGTGCTAGATACCTAAATTGGCAGTGTTTCACATTAATTGCATTGGGTTTCATATGTATGTTGAGTGCATAGCAAATCTGTTAGATTTTATTTATTCAATTTGGGAGATTTTTCCTGTTGGTACTAGATCTATTACTGAGACAAAAGGAGACTTGCTAGAAAAAGAAGGGCTTTCACCTGTCAGCAAATTGATGAAGAAGGGTATTTTAAAAGTGATGTCCTAAAACTATTTATACATCTTCCTCCTCTAGATATCAGGGACACTGTGAAATACAAAGAAGTCATGAAACAGTATCCTTTTTTTTGTCTAAATAATGATATTTGAAATCTCAGATTTTGTGAAAATAGTCTGTCACTTCTGTACTCTATGATGAAGGGGGCAGGAGGTGTAGTTGGACATCTTGTTGAACTTCATGAGATTGTCATGGGCCCACCTCTCAAGCCTGTCCAGGTCCCTCTGGATGGCGCATCACTCCCCTCCAGCTTGTCGACCGCTCCACACAGCTTGGTGTCGTTGGCAAACTTGCTGGGGTGCATGCAATCCCAACATCCATGTCGCCAACAAAGATGTTGAACAGCACTGGTTCCAGTACCGACCCAGGAGGAACATCAGTCATCACTGCTCGCCACTTGGACACAGAGCCGTTGATCATTATTTGCTTTACTGTGTCTGTTAGCCATTACTGGAGTTTAAATATCTCATTAAATAGTGCTTAAGGAGAGTGTCTGGCCTCATGTTTGGATACTGAGAGTAGTGGCCCTACAAGACAGTATATACTGTTCTTTGTTTCTTTGAACATAATCAGTATACAGATCTGTACACATGAAAAAGGATTTTGGAATTTTCATCTTTAAGCTGACCGACTATCTTCACAACGTTCATTCCCATTATCATTTAATTTCTGCTAAAATTTATTTGTGCAAGAAATCTTTTGATTATCTTTTGAAGTATAAATGCTTAAAATTAAGTGCATTCAGGGTATTGTTAAATTCTGAGTTACTGGCTGGGTTGTAAATCTTTTTGGAAAGACAAAGATGGCTTTGATGTATACACATACATATATTTTCGCTTTGTCCAGAATGGTAATGCTTGAATAACAGCAAGGGGAAGCCATGGCATAGCCCATTTTGGTTAATCACACATGTTTGGGCAAAAGAGAGATCACTTTATTTGTTATGCTACTGCATCACTTAGAAGACTTAATTGTGTATTAGGAGTATTGTCTCATGCTGCAAGGTATCCAGTGTTCATTGTACATGGGCACCCATTATTAGAATTGAAAAAGAGGCCCTCTGAGGTCTGCATAATCATCCGCTTTCCTAAATGAAGCATCTAGATACGGGCTGGGCCCAAATGGTGGAATAGTGACTTCTCTCAATCTCTTTGCTACAAGATTTGATCAGGTATGAGGTTGTTCCTGCGTGTTACTGTGCTAGGAGACTGGGGAGGGGGTTACATGTTTGGAGTCATGGAGAGCACTGTGTTTGGTTAGCGTCCTAATATTACTTTGGAGTTAGAGTATTCTGCATACAAAACCACCTGCTTTACAAAGCACCCAAAGCTTATGAGCTTTCAATTTAGAGATTTCAGTTTTTCAGCTTTTTTAAAAGCAAAATTTAGGAGCCACGTGTACAGAACATTCTTTAGTCTTTGTACAAAACTGTTCTGTTGCACTATGTTTGCTAGAAAATCTTTCAGATGGATGCTCTGTTTTTGAAGTAGGGAAGCTCACTTCTGTAAAGAGGTTAGGTTTTGCTAGGGTGATTTGATAATTGACTGCTCTCTTAAATTGTAATGCTAAATCAGCACTGGGTGGGAACTTATGCAAGATATTGAGAGAGTGGACAATCTTTTAGTAAAAAGGTAGGGAACAGCTGTATTTGTTATACCATTTCCTTAGCCATGTACTAGAACACAGACAAAATCAAGGTTGTCTTTGACCTATGAAATGTCTGAGCGTTTTCCACCCTTCCTTAGTAGGGCATTTTCACACATTGAAAAGCTTAGAGACTTTAACCTTCTTTTGATACATATCTTCAGCTGTGCAGGTTAATGTAGTTCCTGGTGTGAAATGATTATGGAAGTTTCCTGTTGTGAGCTTAAATACAAGGTATACTTCTTCTTTTTCAATCAGGTGATGAAGTTTATTGAAAAAAGACAAAATTCATCCAAGTGAGTACTTTCTACCAAGTTCTTTTCTGTGAGCAGCGTGGGAAAAACATGTGAAATCCTAAAAAGGTTCTCTGCGTGTTTTCTAGTTGTTTTTCAGCCTTGGTATAAATTTTATGTGGAAAATAATTAGAACAGATAAACTAGACGTTCTTTGGATACATGGAAGAAATGTCTACTTCCTGGAAGTGATTCCAGTTCTGCTTTTCTTGGCTTCCATTAGACTGCCCTTTTTTTCTGACTCACTGTTCAAATAGGCAACAATGAACTCTTCTGAAGAGTTTGCAGTACTATCTGTCTGTCAAGTTGATGCCTTCAACTTTAATAGAATCTGAAGAGAGGACGTGCTTCTTAGTTACAAAATACATACAGGAAATTAAAATTTTCAGGCATGGCCATAAATTTTGTCACTGGGAGAAGCTTTTCTGATCTGCAACAGAATAATCATGTGATTTGCTGTTACGTGCTTGCAGTAATCTAGTCAGAATAGGATCTGGTGCTTAACTAATTTTCCCTTATTGTTTGTTGGGGGTGACTTCTTAACAGGTATGTTATTATTGACACACCAGGGCAAATTGAGGTATTCACCTGGTCAGCATCAGGAACCATCATAACTGAGGCCTTGGTAAGTGTTTTCTACGTGACTTGACAGTGAGGCTTTGTGAAAGAAGTGGCTGTTAAACAGCATGTACTTCTAATTACAATGCATTTTCTTTTTTGTTTCCAGGCTTCCTCTTTTCCTTCAGTTGTTGTTTATGTGATGGACACCTCTCGCAGTACTAACCCTATCACCTTTATGTCCAACATGCTGTATGCCTGCAGGTAAGAAAAGCTGAAGGTGCTGTCCATCTGCTCTTATTGCTGTGTCTCATTGATACTTATTTTGGAGGGGAATCACAGAATGGTTTGGGTTGGAAGAGACCTTCAAAGATCACCGAGTCTTCCCCATCTAGTCTACTTCCATGGACAGGGACATTTTGCACTAGATCAGGTTACTTAAAGCCCTGTCCAGCTTGACCTCGAACACTTCCAATGATGGGGCATCCATAGCTTCTCTGAATAACCTGCTCCAATGTCTCGCCACTGTCATAAAAATTTTCTTCCTTATGTCCAATCTTGCAGTTTAAAGCCATTGTCCCTTGTCCTGTCACTACAGACCCTGATAAAAAGTCTCTCTCTGTCTTTCTTATAAGCCCTTTTTAAATACTGAAATGCCACAATAGGATCTCCCTGAAGCCTTCCCTTGTGCAGGCTGAACAATCCCAGCTCTCTCAGCCTTTCTTCATAGCAGAGGCATTCCAGCCATCTGATTGTTTTTGTGGCCTCCTCTGGACCTGCTCTAACAGGTCCATGTCTCTCTTGTGCTGTGGGCTGCAGAGCTGGATGCAGTGCTCCAGGCAGAGTCTCACAAGAGAGGAGTAGAAGGGGAGAATCACCTCCCTCGACCTGCTGGCCACGCTTCTTTTGATGCAGCCCTGGGTACGATTGGCTGTCTGGGCTGCAACCACACATTGATGCCTCATATCCGCTTCATCTGATTGTTTGGTTATTCTCATAATGGTTTTCCCATTGGATAAGCAAAATAATTTAGGTACCAGTGGACATCTGGGTCATATGGTCATCAAGTCAAAACTCCCACTGACAGCATTAAATAATCCATGAGACCTTGGTGTGATGAAGGCTAGTTACATCAGATTTAACACATTGCCTGTTGCGTTTATCTAAGATGTATCAAGATAGCCTCATGTAAGCTCCTTCTTGTAAACACATATTTTATTCTATTTTTTAAATATTATTGATACTTTTCAGTGATTCTTCAAGATTTGTTTGTAGCTCAGCATAGTATAGAGTTCTTCATTTATTGCCTTCCTCCTCGTACATGGATTTATCTGTTTTCTTTCATGTTAAACCAGGGACTAAATACCTATGTAAAGATGGATATACCTAGAGCTGCCATAATTCATGGTAAATGTTGTTAAAAGGCTTTCAAAAAACCTATCAATCCTAGGTCAAAAGCTGTATCACTGTGTTAGGAGTACGCAAGATGTGTCTTATCACATGCTGCATTTTCTGACATTAGTGTTGAGCAAAAGATGCTAGAATATTTACAGTGAAATGAATATGTAAGCTTGTGTTTCAAGGCAGTTTTGCTTTATAGGTGTTTTCAGTTATTTGAATTCATTGCTATCTCACAAATAATATCTTGGAACCTAAGGTTTGAGTGAAAATAATTAGAAAACGCAGAGTTAAAAATTGGGATCCGAGAGTCGTAGAAATAGTAATCAAAGGCAACTGGGTGTGTAGAAGGAGATTTTACATCTTAGATGTGCGCTTACATCTTGGGGGAGGCATATTTTGTTCAACTATGGTAAGCAGGATCTGGGTGAAAATTACATTCTAATTGATGTGGAGGAAAATAATTACCTTTTCAAGTCAAATGTATTCAGTTTTGCGCAGGTCTTGTCTGCCTTATGCTTAACTTGCGTTCTATTCTAGTAAGATTTACATTTATTTTTTTTTTTTTTTTGTGTGTGTGTGTGTCCCCAGTATCCTGTACAAGACAAAGCTACCTTTCATTGTTGTCATGAACAAAGTAAGTTAAAGCTATGGTTTTTGTGTCCTAGTGGAACATTGTTCTGTTTAGCTTGCTTTGCTGTGGTGTCTTTGTCTTACTACAATAATAGATTTTCTAGAAAAGAGAGGCTGAGAGGGAGCTGCAGGCTGAAAACTGAATCTAAATGGGTCTTTAATCTGGTATACAAATGCAGAAGAAGAATCAGGGATGGACAGTTACACCCAAACATTCAACTTAAAGAAGATACTAGCAATTTGAAAAACGTTTTGAACCTTAACCCTAGGCTATAAGGAAACTTAACTTTGTAACATAAGGGTAAGTTCATTATTGAATCTGCTCTTACAGTCCCCTGCTTCCTCCGAACAATTGTCTTAATCATTAATTATTTCTACTCAGCAGCAGGCTGGTGACTCACAGTGGGAATTGTATAGCACCTACCTGTTTTGAGGAAGGAGTTCCATGTATTTTAGGAGGCAAAATGTAACAAAAGATGTTCGGTCCTGATCAGTGACACTAAAAATATGACAGTATTTGCCAGAAAGCAGATACTTACTAGCCTAAGGATACACCTCCACTGTTGTGTAAGGTATTTGTAGCCTTGAAGGAATGCTTTTGAACTTAACAGTTAGCCGGCTCTTTAAACATAACAATTTCACATTTTAAAATAATCCTGTTAGGTTTTTGGTGTGAGTACTCTTCCTTTTCCCCACAGACATCCTTTGTATTCAAGGAATTGCTCCCCAACATAGCAAGCTTCGTGTGTGCATGCATGTATATCCCATACGCTTCCTCTAGAAAACCCATGCTTTGAATGTGAAATTTTACCTCACACTAGCAAAGTAGGATTACTGTCTGATGTACTCCAACTACACACATCTTTGCAGTGACCCAAACCATGCATTTCTTTGATATCTGCTTTCTTACTTAGCAAGTTTATATAGACTGTTGTCTTTCTAACTCTATACAGTAATTTTAGAATAGGATGTTAAGCTTTTTCTGTAGAAAAAGGCATGAGGTAGGAAAATCATTCTCTCTTCAGAAAAAACATTTTTTGAAAGACTGAAAGAAATGGTACTTCATCAGCATATGTAAGAATCTAGTATGTAAGAATCTCCCCCCTGACTGCAAGCCAGTCAAGAAAGGATGGGATCTTCAATGAGGACTGTTCTTGTCTGGCCTCAGTCATACGATCTAATATTTACAACTTAAACTTTCTTGTACAGTATGCAATTTTTGGATGCCCCTTTCCAGTAAACCATAGGAGCCTTTAGCCTTGCAATTGTTTCCTTAAACATGCCTTCTTAAAACTGGGATAGTGGTTGTTTGTCTTATCTTCCTGTGTTCAAGTAGTTGGTTTGATAAAAACAGAGCTTGCAAAACTTCAGACCAGAGCTGAATATTTTGAAAAGTTCAGTATTTTGAAAGTAAGATTAAAGTGGAAATTTTTTTATTTGTCCACTTAACAGCCTAAGGCTAAGAACTCATCATTATTACTTCTGGAATTTTTCTTTTCTCCTTCCAGACTGACATAATTGACCACAGTTTTGCAGTAGAATGGATGCAGGACTTCGAAACTTTTCAGGATGCCCTGAATCAAGAGACATCCTATGTCAGTAATCTGACTCGTTCTATGAGTTTAGTGTTGGATGAATTTTACAGTTCACTGAAGGTAAGAATCTTCCTATTTTTTACTACCTCTTGTAAAAGCCTGGAGAATAGAAAGCTCAAGGAGGATATTATTGATGCGTATAAATACCTGATGGGAGGAAGTAAGGAAGACAGAGGCAGGCTCTTTTCAGCGCCCAGTGAAAGGACAAGAGGCAACAGACACAAAGTGAAATGCAGGAAATGGTTTAAAAAGAAGAGGAAAAAAGAATTACTGTAATTTTACTGATCGAGCACTGGAACAGATGGTCCAGAGAAATTGTAGAGTCTCCATCCTTGGAGATACTCAAAACACTCTCAGACAAGATCTTAAGCAACCCGTTCTAGTTAATTCTGCTTTTTGAGCAGGAGAGGTTGGACTAGATGATCTCCAGATGTATCTCTGACTGCAACCATTCTGTCTTTCTGTAAAAGGGCTTTGCACTGCCTTTTGAACTGGAATCTGTTGATGAGCCTTGCATTGGGGGTGAGGATTTGCTGGTTTAAACATAAAGTAACTTTAGTTGCTTCTCACACTGAATGGCAGCCTGAATCATTTAATACTGAATTGTGATTAATCATCAGAAGAAAGCTTGTCTTGCTAATGAAAAAGAGGGAGAATTTTCATTAGAGGATGTAAGATTCTTAAGGGTCACTGAGTACTGGCTAGTAATAGTCTTAAAGGTATTTGGTATTTTTAGATAATTGATTTAATAAAAGCAGACTAAATGGCCAGAAGTGTAATGACAGACAAGTGCAAATTAGAAAGCAGATATGCATTTTAAATATATTGCCATAGTAACTGATTAAATTCTCCATCTCTTGCTCTTCTGGGGGTTGGATTAGAGGTACCTTTTAAAATGGGCTTCAGATAAATACAAACTATTAAACAGAACTTCAGAGGCAAGAGATCTGTTCTTGTGGTCTGTTTTGCTCTTTAATTCTAGCACACTGATGTTGCAGCAGTTAGACTAACCACTTATAATACTAGGTTCAGAATGAGAACTTGGATTATTAACAATAACCAAGTGAATAGAAGGAAGACTTGATCTTTCTTTTGATTTGTCCTATCTTGTTCACTATGTTTGGGCATTGTCTTAACTATTTTTTTTATGGATTGTTGACATAGGAGGTACAAGTGTGAGTGGAGAGTCACTTTTCCTTTTTTCTTTTTTTTTAATTGTTGTTTACCTCCCCCTGTGGTATGTAGAACAGACAGGAAACCCCAGGTTCCTAAGTTAAATAAGAGAGAGAAAACAAACAAACAAACAAAAAGAACCAAAAACTGGAGGTAGCGAACATTAACAGCAGGTGGAGAAGGAGGTTGAAAGTAGGAATGATGGAAGCAGAAGTATTACTGCATACTCTTACGCCACTGAGATGATTAAGTGGGTATTATTGGATTCCCCTATGTTTTTTAGTTTAGTGGGGTTTCTTTGGTTTTTTTTGTTTTTTTTTTTTTTAAATATTGCTTAGTCTTTCCAGCTCTGATCATCCATTAGTTACCTAAAAACTTGGTTCAATTACTCTTCAGTTCTGTTTTATATTTTTCTTTTATAGGTCGTTGGTGTTTCTGCTGTGCTCGGCACAGGCCTGGATGATTTTTTTGGTCAGCTTTCTAAAGCTGTAGATGAATACGAGAGGTAAGACGATAAAATTTGGTCTCTGACCCAGTGAATACTTGCTGAAGTTACTGATTCATGAGCCCACTCCTTTGATTTGAAGGACTGTTCACTTTTTACAGCCAAGGTAGTCTAGGATTTCTAATAAACTTAACTGCAAGAGTCAACATAAAAAGCAGCAGTGAACAGGAACGAACTATTCAGTGGTGAAGTTTTGTACTAACTGTTTAGTGAAAAAGTAAAAGCTATCTGCCAGCAAATCTGTGAAGCCATTTTTTTCCCCTGGTTCCATACAGTGGTTAAGGTTTGAATTGTCCTCAGGAAGCTAGCAGATCAGTTTGGCAGACTGAATAAATGAACAAATTAAAATTCAGTAATTCTTTGAGTATTTGCTCCTTGCTGGATTCGTCCCCATGAAGTACTGCCAGTCTGCTTTATAACATTAGGAAGCAAATCCAGAAACTTGGATTACTTGGAAGTACCTAAACCAGACCATAGATTATTATTAGAAGAAAATATATCATGCTGGATTGGATAGCCAGAGAGAGACTGCTACAGCTTCATGCTCCCAGGGCTGATTAGTCTGGCCTGGGCGTGCCCCCAGGTCTGCATACTGCCTAGTCTCTGCTTACGTGCAATTAGACCCTTTTATTCCCTTAGCCCTCTATTTCCCATACTTGTTCCTCCCCAAATCTCCTAAATCCCTCCCTTTTCCCACCTTCGGTTTCTCTCCTAAACGTCCCATAATAAATCCTCTGCTATCCCCAAATGTTCTTTCCCGGCATCCCATGATGTGTCCCACGGCCCTAGGCAGCCATCTTTCTGTGCTCGCAAGGTGATTTGATTCAGAGAGCTCCCGATGGGGTATGGTGATGGGTTTCACGCCTGGACAGTGGGGCTGATGGTTCTCCTGGGATAGCCCTGGGAGGAGCCAGAATAGGGTATCCCTTCCTCCGAGCCCTTAATTCGGATTCCCTGCCTGCCACCATGCCTTCTGTGTTTCTCTAGGATTGTTGAGATGGGTCTTTGATGGTTTGATGGCTCTCCTGTGATGGGCCTGGGAGTATCTGGGCCAGGTATTATTTATGCTTCTCCTCCCCCAATGTCTCTGCGCTCATTGGAGGTGCTGAGGAGTTTCACCACATAACCTAACAATTATTCTGGGATGCACTGCCTACATAATGAAACCCTAGTTAAGGGTTTCATATAAGCCTCCATTGTGCGCTTGCAGCCCAGACAGCCAATTGTACCCAGGGCTGCATCAAAAGAAGCGTGGCCAGCAGGTCGAGGGAGGTGATTCTCCCCTTCTACTCCTCTCTTGTGAGACTCTGCCTGGAGCACTGCATCCAGCTCTGCAGCCCACAGCACAAGAGAGACATGGACCTGTTAGAGCAGGTCCAGAGGAGGCCACAAAAACAATCAGATGGCTGGAATGCCTCTGCTATGAAGAAAGGCTGAGAGAGCTGGGATTGTTCAGCCTACACAAGGGAAGGCTTCAGGGAGACCTTATTGCGGCCTTTCAGTGTATAAAGGGAGCTTATAGTAGAGACAGATTTTTTGATAGGACCTGTAGTGACAGGACACGAGGTGACAGTTTTAAACTGAAAGAGGGTAGATTTAGATTTCACATATGAAAGAATTTTTTTTACGAAAAGGGTGGTGAGACACTGGAGCAGGTTGCCGAGAGAAGCTGTGGATGCCCCATCGTTGGAAGCGTTCAAAATCAAGTTGGACAGGGCTTTGAGCAACCTGATCTAGTGAAAGATGTTCCTGCTCATGGCAAGGGAGGTTAGACCAGATGATCTTTAAAGGTCCCTTCCAACCTAAACCATTCCATGATTCGAAGAAGAGGGTATCCGCATCCACTTTATCCTACTTCGTTAAAGAAATACTTCAAAGATCCCATAGTGGTACTGTAGTTTAAAAGTCTGTGAACAGTCTTTCTGTATGAGATCCCATTGAACTGTCTTAGGAGGCACAAGTAACTGGCAGAGAAAGTCATGACTGTGATTAGAGGAGAGTGATAAATCTGTTTAGGTATAGCAGTGAAATGACTACCTCAGTCAAGCTGGTTTTCTTGCCCAACAACACAGTGTGAGAAAGGTTTGCTATTTTAATGGAGTATATTCACTTATTTTGCATCCATTCGTTTCAGAATCCAAATCTGGGGTAAAAAGTACTGTTAGTCTTCCTGAAATGTCTCTCAAACATGAAAGCCTAGAGAAAACTTTTTTGGGGGTAGAAACAAGCCTCCAAGATGATCCTTACTTAATATAAATCATGTATTAGTTCAGACTGAATGCACTCTCTTTATCTTTTCAGAGAATATCGTCCAGAATATGAGCGCCTGAGAAAAACACTGGTAAGTATTTTTAACTGTTGTATACCTGGGCAGTGTATCTTGGGATCACTTTTATGCACACAATTTCCTCTATGTTGGGAGGGTCTAACATTTCGTTTACTCATCATACTCAGTGTGGAAAAACTCCTGTCCTGAAGCTCATCATCTGTCTTTTTTTCTTAGATTTGGTGGAGCATATCTTCAGAAAAATAGAGATGTTTTGTAAAACAGATGTGGCTCAGTGTTATAGTGCTAATAATTTGTTTGGGCAAATTGTGAGAAAATGATTGGGAAAGATTTTTATATCTTCCATTCAGAAGGATAGAAAATTTTTAAAAAATAGCTTTCCAAAGTACTTCCTTGAGCATATCAATGTATCTTTCCACACCAGTGAAGTGTACCATTTTGACTGAGACAATCAGTAACGAAGACTGAGTTCTAGTACCAAAATCAGTAGCTCTGCACACCTTGAGTTCTGGCTGTCTGGAGGACAGTTCTCTGCAGGCACAACTTTACAGAGTTTGGCTTCCTGATGCCACTAAAAATGTTCTTGGGATGTCCATTATATTCCAGCGTGAGGTTGCTTTCCATGTTTATCCAAAAGTTCCGTGTAACCTTAGTTGTAATGTAACACGTGCTTATTGACTTGTGCTTTCTGGCTGGGGAACAGACTGCTAGTATTAGGTGAGATTACTCTTCTACTTGTGTTTTAAATGTATTCAGAGTCTGCATGTAACTTTGTACTTACAGGAGAAAGCTCAAAATAAACAAAAGAGAGAGCAGCTGGAACACTTGTGGAAGGACATGGGCAGTGTGTGTGTGCAGGGCAACACACTTGCAGGTACTGTAATAGGAAGATTAAGTTTACTGCAGAATTTGTCTAAAGAGTCTGCCTTGAGAAGTCATATAGTGCTTTGCTGTCTTCACAGCAAAACGATGAAAGCAGCTTTATGTTAGTAAAGAGGAGTGGGGCTTTAGTTCCTGTGGGATGGGTCATACTTAGCTCTTCTATGTGTCAGTCACAGACATGAGAAGAAGAGACCTTGCTGTGTAAATAAAGCAGTGGATGTACTAGAAGTAATGAAATACTTTAGAGAAGGTGAAACAATCAATTAGAATATGAGAAAGCTCTACTGCTGGTTGAGCTGTTGCAAGAGACTGAGTATGGTGCTGATGCATTCTGTCCTGTATCCTTGGAATACATATCATTGGTATTAATTACTGTGTTTATGTGCAAATAGAAATTGTCAGGGCACATGCTAACTAACTTGTTAGCGTGCTGGTTTGTGTATAGCTATTTCTGTTCCCTTCGAGGATCTGATGATGCTTCTCCAATGGGTCCCTCTGAGCTGATCCTAACACGAGGAACTCTCGATGAGGAAGAAGAGAGGGAGAGTGATACTGATGACATTGACCATGAAGGTAAGGGAATGAGGGATCTGACCTGGTCTAAAAGCTGCCTGTCTAGTCAGGAAATACCCTCTGTATTTCATTAACTGGATTTACTGTAATGTGAGCCTAGAAAACAAGTAAACATTGTCACCTAAATACAAGTGTCTGAATCCGTAGCAGAAGTGCAGCTGCAATGTTTAGTCCAGTGATATCACTCTCTAACCTTTGTGAAAGTTCAATTGTAAATTTTCTCTTTGAGTAATTATTTTTAGTAGGTGTATAACATGCATAAACGAGACAATTTATGCTGAGAGCGTGCAGTGACGTCCGAACCTGACTAAAGCATATGTTTCGTTATCTTTTTTGGCCTTAACAGTTCTTAGCACTGGCTCTCTTCCCTTTTCCTGTGACTTGTGGTCTTGGAGCAATCTTCTAAGTTCTCAGTGTGTGATTTTTCTCTTATATAGCTCACAGACTTAATTTTTGTTCTTTCCCTGTTCCATTGAATTTAGGATCACTTATTTCTTTTGCCTTGCAATGAAGTTGAAGTTCAAATAGACTTTATGTGTTGCTCTGACTAGCATGATTCTAGCTTTCTTCAGTAACACAAGTAGAACAAGTGCTGAAATAGTGCTGAACTGTGGATTTTTTCCCCCAGTTACTGAGGAGAGTCATGAAGAACCAGCCTTCAGAAACTTTATGCAAGAGACGCGGATGAAATACCAGAGAAGGAGCAACCGGAATGAACAAGACATTCAGAAATAGAGGGTCTAGAATCCCTTGTAATGGAGTTAAAAGTAAAGGAACAGCATAATGAAACTTGCATGGAACCATGCGTGGATTCTTCTGTCTGTGAACAGCTTCCTCTGATATATTTATATCTTTCTTCCTGCAGTAGCTGTTGGTCACATGAGTTGAAGGTCTTGTACCCAACTGACTGCACATTTGGCCCTCTGCCATGGTGATTTCCTGAAGCTGAAGGAACCAGATAGCACTTTTGCTCCAAATTCTTTAGATGTGCCTGTTGAGAGCTTAGATGTTGAGCTCTGACAGCATTATCACCTAGAGTACTTCCTGGTCTCCAAAAGTGCTTTCTGCTCCCCTTGTGCAGACAGGTGCCTGCTGCAGCCAGGAAACAAGTGAAATCTCTGCTACATGAAATGTCATCAATCTAGTCTTTGATATTTTGATTTTAATTAAATATATTTTATGTACCAGCAAATGCGTGGTGGTTAATGGCAGGAGATTTCATTTCACTGTTCTAACTTGAGACTTATTTTCTGTGCTCACAGCCAGCCCATATGGATGCACAGCAAATGAATCTTAATTACATTACATAAACACAATACAGATGCCTCCTAGGAAAATCCTGGGTAAAGAAAGTTCCCAGGAGGGAAAGTGATAAAAAGAATCTGGCTTGATTCAGCTGAGAACCCAACTATGCATGGCTGTGTACTGGCTGCGTATATCTGTAGGTAACATAAACCAAAGGCATTTCTGCAGATGAGTGCTTACACAGAATGTAGACAAGGATTTGGAGATGGGCTAATAATTATTTTCCTGGTAGGCACCAGAGGCACAGATGTTCACTTGCTGTTTACCATACTGAGCTCTGGCATTTTTGTTTTCTTTCCCTCCACACAATACTGTGGCCTTACTAAGGAGATTCCTCAGTGGGAATCTGGCAGCAGTGTCTGCTAGCACAAGTTCTGTAGGTTTCTGGAAAAACAGTTTCTGTGAATTTTAAAAGTATAGCTGGCTGGGAAGGGAAACTGACAACAGCTGTTACCTGCCAGCTCTGATACACTTACTGCTTTATTAATGTGGAGTGTTGAGAGATACTAGTTGTTTAGCTTAAATAAGGAAGTTTTAATTAGAATAAATTACTTAGGGTTATAAGATGGTGTGATTTATGCTATTTGCTTAGCTTTACTTAGCATGAGTAAGATAGATTTGCTGAAGCCTTTGGGCCACAATAGAGTTAGTTTTCTTAGTAGTTTTCCTAGCAGCTAGTAGAGTCCTGTGTTTAGTCTTTTAGTATAAGAAAAATGTTAGTAACACACTGATGTTTTGGTAGTGTTTTCCCTAAGTCTGGGACTTTTCAGTTCTCCATGTTCTGCCAGTGAGCACAGGTGCACAAGAAGCATAAACCAGAAGATAAGGAGGCTACAACTGTCAGCAGTGACAGCAAATCAGCAAGGGAAGAGCAGTCAGCGGCCGGCCGGGCTGGACACAGAAAAGGAATCTAATAAGGTGTTAGAAGACCCCAAACCAAAATCACCATTGGACTAAAAGGCACGTGAACAGCCTGTGAGGGGCGGGTGTACAGATCGCAAGGGTATAATGGCCCAGGGATTTCTTTGTTTGAGGTCTCTCGAACCCCTGTGAGGGGCAGTGACTCAGATTTGCAAATCCCCAGTGGTGTGGGCTGAGGTGAGACAACTCCCGAGGTCCATACAAAAACATCTGTTACAGTGATTAATATATGTCTTAACTAGGTCCATGATAGTTGGTTAGGTATATGACAAATTATGGCAAAAGGTAGAAGTATGGCAAGCAGTAAAGCACGCCTTGTGTTACTTAGCAACAGATACGCAATGAATTATGGCAAGAGGTACTTCAGAACAGATATACCGTGAATTATGGTGAGTGGTAAGTTATGCCTTGTATTACTTAACAACTTTAAAAGAAAAGAGAGAGAAACAGAGGGATAGAGAAGGAGAGACAGAGTGAGAGAGATAAAGAGATCACGGTTCCTGGTTCCAGCGTTGGTCTGGCCAATGGGGGTCTCTGGTTCGTAGAAGCGCTCCTCTGGGTAAAATCTCCCCAGGGGAAAAAATCTCTAGGGGCACTTATTTTCCCCTTTTATGTTCGTGGTGTTAGTACAACCTGACCCACTGTTACGGTGCTCAGGTTTCTCCCCCCCAGGTGACGTGTAACAGGATTTGGGTGGAGAGATGAGTCCTATAGTCATATATGTTTAGCGTGATCTTGATAAGCTTCATTAGCATATGCAGGGTTGTCAACTTTAATATGCATTTTGTGGATAATGAGGCAAAAGGTCATCATCGAACATAGTAGCCTTTCGAAGAAACAAAGAACTACACAGACTCTGTTATCATCCTTGCTGATGAAAAGCAGCGCTGTCCTGTTTCCCTCCTCCAGATTTGGTCGAGTTTCGTTCCCACCTGAGCACGTGGGTGTCAGCCCCATCAGTCCTTTGAGCACAAGGCCTGCATTATCTACCCCGTGGCTACAGCCACATTCCACAGTCCTCGTGAGTGGCTGAGACATTCCTCAGCGAGGCTCGGAGGGAATCCTTCTCCCTTCTATCTCTCACCATTTGTTTCAGGCAATACACAAGTCCTGTCTTACACCCACTTAGTGGATGAAGGAAAGGCTGTGAATGTTGTCGGCCTAAACTTTGGTAAAACTTTTGACGCCATTTCCCACAGCATTCTCCTGGAGAAACTGGCTGCTCATGGCTTGGACATGGATATGCTTCACTGGGTAGAAAAAGTGGCTGGATGGCCCGGTCCAAAGAGTGGTGGTGAATGAAGTTAAATCCAGTTGTTTGTTGGTCACAAGTGGTGTTCCCCGGGGCTCGGTACTGGGGCCAGTTCTGTTTAATAGCTTTATCAAGGACCTGGACGAGGGGATGGAGCGCAGCCTCGCTACGTTTGCAGAGGACACCGAGTTGGGCAGGAGCACTGATCTGGTGGAGGGCAGGAAGGATCTACAGAGGGATGTGAACAGGCAGGATGGATGGGACGAAGCTGAGGGTTCCAACCAAAACAATTCTGGTTCCATGAATAGTATGTGAATGCTTGGACAGCGGCTTCTCCTTTAGCAGAGCTTTCCAAGAGTACAACTGTGTTGCACCTGCTCACTGCTGCTGTCTGGCGGACGAAACGCGGTACTGCAAGTGCTCCGCAGGTCCCTGGAGCTGCGTCTCCTCCCTCTGCGCTGGCCTGGGGGGTGCAGGGACAGAAACAACCACCTTGGCTTTTTGGTGCAGAGGCAATGCATATTACTGCCTGGGCTGCGAATGGAAGCAATGCAGAGAGATTTAAACCCTGTAACCCCCAGTAAGTAGTTCCCGTCTTTGGATAGTATAAACTGGGCTGCGATAATAGTCATTGGTCACCTTACTGAGTGCTCACAAAGGAATAACTAAGATGATGCTGCCGCCCGGTGACCAAAAGGCGGTACTGCAGCTCAGATGCCGCACCGGCGCCGTGGCATCCCCGTGCTCGACGCTGCCGTCCGCCGGTACCGATAATGCGACGCCGCGGTGCCCGTGCCGGCGGGCGCTCGGCGGGCGAAGTGCCCCCGCGTGGCTGAAATGCCGGCAGTTTGACGGACGTCGAAGAGCGTGATGCAGTGTGGGTCATTTACCCGTTATCTCTGGCGGGGTCTCCACATGAATTACCTGCTGTGGATTAACCTGTGTGGAGCCCCTGGTGTAGGTCATCCCCAAGCATGTCCCCCCGTGCAGATTCCTACCTGCACAAGGCCCTGCCCTCGAGCCCGCCTCCAGTGACCC